TAATTTTTCTTTTTGGTTATTAGGTCGACTATGGAGATTGGCTTCATTCCTTCTTCCATTCTTAGGTATAACACAATCAAGTTTTTTTTTTTTGTCCGATTAACAAAATCAAGTTTTTAATTTATCTTTTACTTCTATGCTTATTGCCTTATTTTTATTCTTAATTTAGGTATAAAGCGAATACATGCTTTAAAGTGGAGTCATGGCTTCGCCCGTGCGAGTCTACGTTTGATCTTTCAGCGCCTGACAAAATTACACTTGAGGAAATTGGACACAATTGCACTGTTGAAAGCAATCACCAGAGCAATTGAGAATGGCATTTATGATTTTTTAGTTGAAATGGTCGAAACTAATGCCGACTTACTTCTTACACCGATGCTTCTTACACCGATACCAGCAGCCGATGATGAGACCACGCATGGAAATTTTAGGTGTGAAAATTTTCTCATGAATGCCATTGCATTTCGTCAGGAGAAAATTGCATGCTTTCTTATTGGACTCCCCCTTGGCAAGCTATTTATCAATTTACGGGATCCACAGAAGAACACCATATTACATACAGCCGGTGAATTGGCTTCTGATTCTCAACTTTCTCGCATTTCTGGTGCTGCTCTACAAATGCAAAGGGAGATACAATGGTGGAAGGTACACAATGAAAATCAATAGCTTTTATTAATCATAAATTATAGTGCTTAGGAATATATACAAGGATAGTCCAACCATATAAAATTCACTATATAACTAGTATTAAGAGCTGCAAATTTTCAAAAGCACATTAGGAGTTGAGTACTATATATACAGAACACAATAGTAGCTCCAACTAAAACAAAAAGTGTAATATGCTAATGAAATCAACATTGGTCATCCTGTCATTCAGGTAAACTAGAAGCCAAAAACACTGCCTCACAAAACATTCCTTCCCATCTTCAGAATCTAAGCTCACTTGAGCCTCTTCCAATCCATTGTAGGATTCTTCTTTACATTTTGCTTAATTCTTTCTAATAGTTAAATTAAATTAGGTTTTACTATTACTTTATGTTTTTCATCAATTAAAGCCTTTTTTTTTTCTCTAAAGAAACCCTCTTTGTCGATGCTGCTTTATTATATATATATAAATATGTGTGTGTGTGTGTGTGTGAATATAGGATTTTACATTTAAATTATAAATTTTAAAAAGGCAGGAGGTTGAAAGCCTTGTTGGCCCCCGTGGAAAAGATACCAAAAACAAAAATGAAGAAACTGCTTACCAAGTTTTGGTTAGAGAGCACAAAGCTTTGCTCAAGGAAGCAGAGGATTGGACGAAAGGATTAGCAAATTCATATATAATTGTTGGCACCCTCATCATCACCATAATGTTCGCCGCAGCTTTCACCCTTCCTGGGGGTAACGATGGAAATAATGGATTTCCAATATTCAAAAACAAAGTAGCATTTTTGGTATACATAATATCCGATGTAATCTCTCTGTTCGCTGCAGCTGCCTCAGTAATAATATTTCTGGGATTTCTCACATCACGTTACAACATGGAAGATTTCCAAACATCTATTCCCAAGATGTTGATGGCTGGGCTTTCTACTTTGTTTGTCTCTCTTGCAGCAATGATGATAGCATTTTGCTCGACTATTTTCCTCATGCTAGAAAACCGATGGTGGATTATCATTCCATCTGTGTTGCTTGC